GGAGACCACTTACTCCTCAAAAGCTTGGAAGAAGACTGTTCAGAAGATGGGGTACTCAACCAAGCACTGTCTGGTGAATCAACGTCAAAAGGGGTCTGGCTTCTGAGAAGATCAATAAAACCCTCGTTGGTATCCATGATTATAGGATTCTCTGTGTCTAAGTTATTTGATATATTTTTTCATGTCTACCGCTTAAGTAAGCATTTTGTGCCTAAGTTTTACATTTAACACAAATCAACTCAGAGGAGTTGAGAAGGTAGAAAGTAGTGCAGTCATTAAAACCTATCAACTCAGAGGAGTTGAGACGGTAGAAAACCATTAAATGGTAAGTGGCATTTAATCATTTTCAAGTAAGCAGATAGTTCATGTTTATAAATGTGTGTTTTAAAGTTTATAATTGAGTTTTATAATTTTATTACTCTATGTTTTAATCAAAGGAGTTATAACGTTGATAAATGTGTTTATAAAGTTTATAATTGAGTTTTACAAAATTAACTACTCTATGTTTTAATCAAAGGAGTTATAAAGTTTTATAGTCTAAGTTTTAATCAAAACTCAAAGAATAAAGAGTACGATGCATATTTACCTTCTAAAGGTCAGACACTCGCATATTCATCCTCTGAAGCTCTTCCTGAAAAACATGACATAAAAGAGTCAAAAGCTTAAACAAAATGCAGAAACAACTACGAGAAGGAGAAGGAAACTTACCATGAACTCTGTTACGATGGCGTCCTTGTCTTCAAACCACTTGAAGATGAACACCATACCTACTAACAGTAACACGACCAACGCACAAACACCCAATGGAAAGACAACTGAAACCCCTGACTTCTTCTTGGCTAACTCTTCCACTGCCTTCTCTAGGTTAACCAGTGACTGCTGAGTCTCATTAGTTGAGCCTTAAGCTCCCTCAATTGTCTCTCAAACTCACTCATCTCCTCGGTTACTGCCACGTCCCACAAACGTGGAAGTATCCATCATCAGCACTCTCACAAGTGAAGTACCTTCGACCTCGATCTTTGCTTGTGTACGCTGTTGCGACGACAGTATCACTACCACAGTAGCAGGTCTTTGGGATTCCATCTTCGCCATCATGTTGCAGAGGATACAGAACCGGCTCTCTATTGTGGCTACTCTCAGCTTCTTCCGCGTAGAGGTCAGCTTTAGCTTGAAGAATTGAATCAATATCAAACTCCTCGGATGAAGAGGGATGGCTGTAGCTATATCGTCCCATGTTTCCTTAACCTGAAAGCAAAGAAAAACACAGTTGTTAATACAAATCACAGAATCAAAGCTACATTTACAGCATTTGTAATCAATTGAAACACTAAAATCATAACATTTGTAACCGAGACATTTGTATTCAAAGGTACTCCTACAACATTTGTAATCAACGCTCAAAAGACTCAGAGAAGATAAAGAGAAGAAGATAACTCCAGTGTATAAGATTCAAACCCTAATCGTTTTTGAAATCGTAACAAACGAGAGAAACCCCAAATCGATTGAACTAAAATCGTTATCGAACCGTAACTTCAAATGGAAAGAGCCCCAAATCGATTGAAACCTAATTCGATATGAAACCCTAACAACAAACGAAAGAAACCCCAAGTCGATTGAACCGAAATCGTTTTCTAACCCAACTTCAAATGGAAAGAGCCCCAAATCGATCGAAATCCCAAATTCGAACCCTAGAATGCGAGGAAAACAACCTAAAATCTAATCTATATCGGAGAATCAACAAAAAAACCCTATGATTTACCTTCTCAATCACTAAACCAGAAAATTGCCTTGTCGCCTAGACATGAAAATTTCTTGGAGTTGAGTCGAAAATGATTTCATTTTCCCCGAACTCGCGAAACCCCTTCTCTCTCCACACTTCCACGTCAGCACGGATCAACGCATTTTAATCCTTAGGAAAGGATTCATCCCTAGCTTATTTGGGTGATATATTAATATAATAATCGGTTAACATAAGGATTTGTGGTTAAGGATTGCATTAAGATGACCGTTGTAGATGGTCTTACAACTACACCTAATTAATCACATTATTCATGACAAAACCATTGATATCAAGCATGTCACTATCAGCAGCGTTGTTTTCTTCAAGCCCAATACCATTATACTGTATAAAACACCACTTACAGAATAATATAAATCTGTATATTTCATATAAATATAAAATTTTAAGATTCAATATGACATTCTAAAATAAAATACCTTTCGGGTCTAACCGTTCATGTATCTAAACTATTAAATCTGAATTACTTTTTTGAAATCACCATCAAAACATCACCTTATTTACATTTAAATGCCATTAAGTTAATAATAACTATTAACAATGGGTTTCGACTTTTATACTTATCCTTTGGTGTATCATATGGGCTTTTAACTTATCTGATGCATATATATTAGTCAACAAAAGAGAATATTAAAAAAGAAACGAAAAAAACAGGAAAGAGAATTAGTTCCTAGGAAAAATTTTAGTGAGTTGGTATTGAATATAAGTGGTAAATAAATTTAAAAGTTTATAATTTTCAGTAGAACCGAACCACCAAATTATTTTTAATCTGAAATATTTTCGAATTATTAGATATTTTATCAAAAATATGAAAATGTGATTTTTACCCAAATTATTCAAAATTATCGTAACAATGAAAACATACCCAGAACTAAACTGATCTCTAAATATTATTGGGTTCTTAACATTGGTATCAGAATCAAAACGAAAACTAAAATATCAAATCAAAACCAAACTCGAATTCATAAATAATTGAACGGTTGACCTATCTATTGAACAAAAAAAATCAAAAACGCAATCGAACCAAAACCGAACAAAAACCAAATACCTTTACCTAAATTAGTTAGTGAACAAACAAACGGGTTAACAAATTTATCAGAAAAAGCAATGTTCGAAAATACCGTATACGCTAGTCGGGCGGTGAACCACTGTATAACGCTTAGAAGTACATGCGGATGTTTATACGGGTATATATGGTGAATGTATTTATAACATATTTATGTATATACATAAAATAATTAGTAGTTATATAGTGATAAATCCAAAATATATATTCTAAATTTACATAATTCTAACTATTTTTTAGTTTAGATTACAAAGAGATGTTCCACATATATGTATCAAGATGCTTCTTTGTAAAAACTCATGTGGAATAAAGAACTACATCATAAGCTAAGTATTTTAGAAGATTAATAAAATGGTCACATGTTTTGGTTCCACATCTGTCAAGAAAAATGAGAAGTTATACAAACCTTTGTATAATGGGATATCACACACTCTATTAAGCGTAATTTGAACACTGAGTTTTTTGTACCTAAAATAAAATAATTGTCTTTTTTAATCAAAGTCAAAAATTTCAAAATAGGATGAACCGTCTAAATTAACCGAATAATGAAGTTCGGTACAGCGGGCTCATGTATAACGTATACACGACGTAAATTAACCGAATAATGAAGTTGATCGGTACAGCGGGCTCATGTATAATGTATACACGACGTATAGACAGCCGCCTGGACGTATCTTAGAACACTGAGAAAAAGTAGTTATGCGCTTTGAAAACGCAGATCAAAATCTAATTCAAATTAAAATATAAAACTGCGGATCCTCCATAATAAAATCTAAAAGGATATAAATATCGGTTTGATTCCTATACGAACTAGAATTTTTCGGGTTGGTTTCATGTTAGGTCCTCAGGTCGGAGTAAAATATCTAGACCTATATTATGATAAAAAATACATATATAAAAATAAATCTTTTTTCAAAAAATGTAAAACAAAAAATATATCCGCACTTTGAAAAGACGGGTCAAAATTACAGCAAGACTCCTCACATACATTATATGTTTACCACATAACAATGCAGATTACTTTGAACTATTTACTATGATTGGTGATATGTATTATTAGGTTAAATTACAATAAAAATTATAATTCAATGCGATTTGAAGTAAAAAATCATATGGTAGAAACTATAGATTTATGTAGTGAGTTAATTGTACAAAGTTTAACTCAACTTAATAATATGTCACGCATTGTAATTAACCATTTATTTTAATACAAAATGATAAAGGTCACCTGATGAGACAATGGTTCTTCATAAACAGAAATGAAGACGTGGTTGTTTTGCTTAAAATTTTTAATTAAGCTAAACTCATATATATGGTAATTACAGCAAAGGTGCAAGTTGAATAGTATGAAAAAAATCTGAAGCCAACAGATCGCATGGAAAGCACGAGGATGTTCCCCAAAGGCCCAAAGTATTTACAAAAAAAGTCTTTTTTTTTTGGTAACTAACACCATAATAATAATTACATATAAGTAACTCGTGTCTAACAATGTGCACAAGATATATTTATATTTGCAGTGGATCCATAGAAAAGTTAAGGCAATTTTAGATCTGTTTTTTCAGATTTAGGGTATTTTTTACAAATTATTTTATAGTTTTGTTCTTATAGATATAAAACATGCACATGGTCTTACAAGAGAATGAGACGGGTCAAGTTTTATTAATGGGATTTGATTGGTACTAAATTAACATTGGTCTGTTTGGTAAACTACTTTTTCCTATCAATTAAGTAAATATATATATATATATATATATATATATATATATATATATATAATTATCTAAATAATTATATAAATGATCTCCATATTGTACCTATTCGTATAAATCGTAAACACATAAAAAAAAATTGTGTAAAGCTATAGACTACATATGCTCAAGGCAAGTTTATTTTCCTCTTTACAGGATTGTTTGGAATTGTTTAACATAGTTAGTTTATATTAACACGATTCATAATGTCCCTACCAACTCTTTAGTGAAAAAACTAGAATACCAAATGTGTTATTTTCTGATATAAATCAGATAGGTTATCAATGAGTTGTTCTGATGTTATCATTGACTAAAACTTGATTTAGTTTAATAAGAAGTTAACAAAGATAAACTTATTATAATTATTTTAAATATAAAAAACAAGTGTTTACATCTTAATCATTGAAATAACTAATCGGAAAGGAAAGTGAAAGTCAGACTTGGTTGAGTAACCTGGAAATATCCATTTCTTGAATTGCACCGGCTGGATTAGACGCAAACCTTTTTCTCCAGCAAGAGATTTTATATCCAATTTGTTAAACGGGTACATTGTCATATTAGTGAAATAAATCTCCCCACTTTCGTTCACCATCTCGCGGGCACTCTCAATGAATCCTCTCACTACATCTTTGTGTTTCCTAAGTTATACATGCAAAGAGTTGTTATAAACCAAAAAAATATAGAACGTAATAACATAATATTGAGACAAAGAGTAGACTGAAATTGGATACTCTAATATTTGTTATTAACTACACTACCAATCAATATGCAGCTATCTATATTTATAAAATGGATCGTAAAGGTTTATAAATGAATGAAACGACATATCAAGACATAACTAAATAACCATCATTCAAGTTATCGGATCAGTTATTTTTGAGAATTTTAAACTTCCTTGAGACTATTGTAAAACGAAAAAGGCAACTTTTGATACTTTTTTGGGTGAAATTGTTATCAGAGTAGATTGATTATCTGAATCTCGGATCTCATAGTGTTTGTCTATCTCTTGTTAAATACATGCACAAATATATGATGAAAACACTAGGTCAAAACCTTACCCTGCATGAGGAAAATCAAAGACAATTCTATCATATCGAGATAGGCGAAAGTCTGAAGTCATAGTGTGTACGTTGACACCATGGACCACCGTGCACCCAAGCCTCTCCAACTCTTCCACATTCCCTTTTCCATTGTTGTACTGACGCCCTAGTCCAACTACCAAATACAAAATTAATACAAAAACACTAAGAAAGCGAATTTGACACGCTACGTACTTGATTTGATTCAGATTGTAATAATAGCAAATAATATAAGAATATTGAAAATGATTTAGCATTACCTCGAACATCAAGAGATACCGCAGTGATTTTGGCGACAGAAGCAAAGGCTTTAGCTAGTGACAATGAAAATGAAAACTCTCCTTCTCCAACCAGAAGCATTTTTTGCATACTGCTACACTGGCTTAAAATTTTAGAATCTTGAACTTCCATCTTTTATAATCTGGATGTTTTACATTACACACCAAGTCCTTATATATATAAGGAGTTAAATTAAGAGATCGATATTCTCTCATTAAATCTTTGGCTTTGTAAATTGTAATGTCTCTTCCGACTTTGTGACTGTTCATGTTCTTTGAAGACCTTTCATGTTCTACAAGAAGAGAGTCAAACTTCTTTTACGGCTATAGCTAATTAGTTAAATATACATGTATCATGCCAATTAACGTCAAGGTGGAGTTAATGTCTTCTTATAATTTAATCACAATTTAATATTATATGCATCCAGTAAAAATCCCTTTAAATTTGAAAAAGCTACATTAAATAGCTAATTTCACAATGCCTCCTTCATACTTGTTTTCGGTTTATTAAAAAGTCAACAAACAAAAATGTTATTGGAAGATACAAAATATTGACAACATTAAAATTATAGAATCATGAAAAAACTTACAGTTTAATCAATATCAGAAAATAAGAATTTAATTGTAACTTTAATATATTATTTCAATATTAGTCTACTAATAGTCATAGACATGAATTTTACAACAAATTTACAAGCCTAAAGTGAATCAGTTGACTTGGCTGGGCTTTTATCGGAAGCCCATACATTAATTGCTTTTATAAATAGGCCCAACCGTCGGATCAATGTTAAAAGTTAAAACCAAACACTGTCTCTCTCTCTGGTCTCTTCGCTCGTGTTGGAGATTGTCGCATAAACCCTAATTTCTTCAGAAACCTAAGCTTTGTCTGGTAAGTACCAATTCAATCGCTTCTTGTCTAAATTTAGACTCGCAAAAAGATTCGATTTTTCAATCTTATCCGGTCGTGTTTAGAATCGCTTGAAAGAACCCTTGATGACTCAGTTCAATCTCTGTGTTGATTAGGTCAGGTTCGAGAGGATATAAAATGGATCAACAGCCCGAACCAGTTACGTACGTCTGCGGAGGTAAGCTCAGAGCCTCAGACTCATAAAAGCTCGAAGCTTTGTGCTGTTTTGTAATGTTAAACATGTCCTTATCGCATTTTTTTCTAATTAATTTATAAAATATGCCTCTTTTGAGTAGCCTTATGAACCTTTTTAATTTCATAATTGGCTTAGTTAGGAGGCATAAATCAATCTGATCTTTTCAGTACTTTCTGTATTGGTTTGGTCTTAATGATTTGAGGTCTTTTGAGGAGGAGCTCTACTTCTTTACTGCTTCTCCCAAGCAGCCTCAGACATTATACAATTAAACCCATAAACAAGGATTTTTTGCTGATGGATTGTCATTTTCCCTTTATCTTTAGTTTGTTAAACTTGTTTTGTCTGAATGGTTTTGGAAGATTGTGGACAAGAGAACACTTTGAAGTCAGGGGATGTGATACAGTGCAGAGAGTGTGGCTACCGTATTCTCTACAAGAAGCGTACCCGTAGAGGTGAGAGACTTACCTCTATCCTTATTCCTCAACCTTTTGTGTAGTAATTCATCTTCTTGTACTACTCTTTTGGTCTTGTTATTATGTTATGAGTTATGACACTTGTGGCGTGATTTTTATGTGTTTGTTGATTCTCTTGCAGTTGTTCAGTACGAAGCTCGCTGAGGAACATAACCTTGAAGGATGATTCAAAGTCTCTTAAGATAGCATAAAGACATTTCCTGCCTCTATTTGTAATAAAATTTAAAATTCGACTTGAAATTATGTTTCTGTTTTTTGCTAAAGTAGCTTGTTTTTGTTTGATTTGGTTAAAAATGAGTGTGACTTTGAAACCCATTATTGGATGTCTCTCTTGATCTAAAGTCACCCATCTTCAGTTACACATACAAAAATATGCCTCATGTTAATCGGTTTCTTGCCGTCTTTGCTTAACTGTGTTCTTGCCATAAACCAGATTCTGAAAGCAGAAAACACCGTTTCAGTGCCGACCACTCTGTCAATGATTGAATGTGAATCGATGGGTTTGGTTATGCTGATGACGCGATCTTTGACTCGGTGATTATGATTTGGAAACTCAAATTTCTGTTTTTTTTTGGTTGAATTATGCTCACACTCGAACCTTTCTCAGAAGATCAAGGTCGGTCGTCGGTTCAAATTTCTGTTTTTCTTATATTTGGATTAACTACACAAAAGAAAATATGAACGGTGTTGATGGTGCCGATTCCTCCGACATTACTAGTGGCCATCCTCTATCTTTAGTGTGTGGAGATTTTCCCAGGTCTTCGGCAAGTGAACAGCTGGAAAAGAAATATAGGAAGGTAATTATAATTGTGTAATGGGTTAGAGATTGTTAAATGTTTTTCGGGGAGATGATTTTGAAGATAGTGGTTGGTTAGTGAGTTATTCCCTTACTGCTTATAGTGTGGGTCACTGATGAATCTATTTTTATACTGTTAGTAGGGTTTCTAGGTTATATGAATTAGAAGGTGTAATTTAGCTTAAACCTAATGTATCTCCATTTGCATAGCTATGGATATTTTTTCTACTGATAGAATGAGTTATGACTGTAAAACTGCAAACGAAAGCATTTGGCTTGAAATTAACCCAATTAACCCCTTCAAATCTCATTTTCTTAGAGTTTGTAAATGGGATTTTGACATTTTGAATATTTAAACTAAAAAGTCAGAATTTAAATGATATATAGATATCTGCTCTAATTTTACTCTCCACCACCTCAACTGTAGTTCCATTGCTTAGATTCTGACATGTAGAGATGATTTAGAATATGTAATCACATAGTGATATACAACAGTTAATTTCGCTCACCCACAATGTTCTTTTCTCGGTTTTTAATGGTTTTATTCTCAGATTATGTCCAAAAACTGTAGCTGAAAGTAGATGAAGTATAGTTTACAGTTGTCCAAAACAAGAATATAGACGGTGTAACTATTTAACTCTCTACCATAAATATTATATGTTTTCCTGCACAATGTGCAGTGATAAATTTAAAAAAAATAAATTTGAAAACAAAAATTTGTTAATATTATATATTATTATTTTGACCAATATTTAATATAAATTTAATTTAATTAAGCATAAATTCAGAGAAAAATAAAATTTTATAATGTTAAAAGTATATTAAGAATATATATATTTAAAATCATAATCTTAGATAAAATTTTTTATCTATTTCTTTTGGTTAGATATATTAAATCAACTTGTATAAAATTACTAAAATTATTCAACATAAAAATTGTATAGTTATAAAAAGTAAAAGTAAAATTATTTATAAAATTTGTAGATATCTAAAAGAAAGTAATGATATTACGATTAAAAATTTATAATTTTTTAAAAGATTGTAGAAAGTTGTAGTAGTAAAAATTGTATAGTTATACTAATAAATTAAATGATATTTTTGAAATTTATAATATTATATTTGAATATATTTGATGCTTTATGAGTTATTACCATATTATAAGTTTATCAAAAATATAAATAACATTAAATGTAATATATGAGTTATTGTCATATTCTATAAAGTTTAGCAAAAATATATATCATCATTAAATGTAATTGTCCATGTCATATTAAACCATAAGCCATGTCATATTTCGTATATGTTATGTCATATTAATTTAGTGAAAATGATTCTAGAGATGACATGTGTCAAAATCATTTCGCAAATAATGTCTATGGGATTGGTAATAGAGTTTTAGATGGTCACTGCAATGCAATCTCCTTACCACTTCCCAACGTATCTTCTCCAAGTCGAAGGCTAGAACTTGTCCTTCATTGTCCCAGGTTCTACCTGAACCTAGAACACATGTTATGAATTTCAGAATTATTTCCATAAAGTAAAGTCCAGAAAGGGTAAGAGAGGGAAGATCAGCACCAAGGTTTCTTAAGATTCGAGATTTACATTTTTTGACTGGAGGCAATTTACATTTGTTTGGACCTTTAAACAAGAGATATGTTTGCTGAGGACATGTCAATCAGATGGAAAAGCTTCACTAAGGAAGTTGTTGGCTTCATCTTTTTGGTCAGAGAAGCCTGAAGTACTTTCTGAACAAGTTGGAGGATAAACAGAGGAATCTATGCTCATGGTCGATTAAACCGGAGTTTCTTAAAAACATGTTATATCAAATGACCTATAACCCTCGTTTAGCACATATCAAACTCTAGTTTATTGTTAATAAATTAATTAATTGTATAGTACTATATATAATGTAATACACAACTCTCGACAGAAAAAATCATATTCAAACCTATGATCTCATTAATAATATGCTAGCTACCATATACTATAAATCACATCATTTGATATACAATTTATAAAACTATTACATTATTTTCAATCAAAAAACAATCTTGCGTTTTAGAAGCGCGGATCAAAATCTAGTAATATATTAAAAGTATATATTTTTACATATTTTTAAATGTGAATCCTTATAAAATGAAAAAGTATATTTTAACGTTATTATTTAACTAAAACCGAGTAATGATGAGTTTATGATATATAAGCACATATTTGGAGTTTGACAAAAGTAATAAAGAAGACAAAGGAAACATAAAGTGTAATTACGTTTCTTCTTTATCTGATACCACCTCCCCAACTGGTCCTTACGTTTCTTCCCGCAAGGGAGCTCGTAAGGGGTCTCAACTACCGAAGTCAACTATTGCTACTCCTCCAAAGCAGCAAACCACTACTACTGGTTCAGATCTCCCTATGTCGAATCTGTACCAAAGAAACTCAACTTTATCCAATTCAAACACTGTTCCAGAATCTGGATCTGAAACCCTAACTGTTCCAACCAAAAAACCTGATGCTCAACCTGGCCAAAACTACACCATTCTTCCTCCCAAACATTCTTCTCCCATTCTCACTAACACAGCCTCCGCTCCCATCCAAAAAGCCCCCACTCCATCCTTACCTGTCCAACAAAAAAACCCCCCTTTAGACACTGTCCCTGAAATTCAAAGCTGTTCTCATTCTGCTCCAGGACTGGAGAAACCATTACCTCAGAAAACCACTATTGTCGACAAAATTAGAGCTTCTGAAGACAAAACTTTAGAAAGACTAGCTGAAGTCACCATTGCTCCTTCTGGCCGTCCTAGAGTACTGATACCTGATGCTGTATTTGAAAAAGGTGCAGAGATACACAAGGACTTCATTATTTGCTACTTCAATGGTAAATCTCCACCCTTCAACCAAATTCAAAGTGTATTAAATTACATGTGGGGAAAAGGAAAAAGGCTAGAGATCCACAACAATCCATTGAACCATTCAGCAATAGTGAGAATTCAAAGCGAATACCTTCGACAGAAGATTCTGGATAAAAACATTTGGTACGTCGGAGAATCAATGTTCCATACGGCTCTATGGACGTCTGATCACTCTATGTCAACACCTCCTTTAAAAGCCATCAAGATCTGGGCCCATCTCACGGGAGTTCCCCTTGATCTCCGTCACAAGGAAGGACTGAGTTTGGTGGCAGGCTTGGTTGGTGAACCGAAAGAAACTGATGAATTCACCAAGAACATGGTTAGTCTAACTGTTTCTCATGTCAAAGTGGAAGTGGACTTGACAAAACCTCTTCCACCCGTGGTTGAATTCGAAAGACAAAGTGGTCAAGTAGTTGAGGTGTTGGTGCACTACCCTTGGGTCCCTCCAACATGCTCTCACTGTAAAGAACTAGGTCACATTGTTCGCAACTGTCTCACCTATCGCCCCCCTCCACCTGTTCCTCCTAATACCTCTTCCTCCACTCCTCCTGAATCAACAAAAAACACTACCACCCCACAAAAACAGCAAACTGACCGCCAAACTTTCACCCCCTCCAAAGCTGCTAAATCTAAACTGAAGAAGTACAATCCAATTCCCCCCTCAACCTCTTCAGAATTTATTGAGACCCCAAACCTTAACCATGTCACCTCTATGTCTATTGACAAATCTCCCCTCCCATTTGAACCGCCTAGCTCATTCACCTCGCCCATCCATTCATCCCGCCCTTCCCTCAAACGATCAAGATCGTCCCCAACCCTCTCTCCTCCTTTGTCTTCTAACCCTAAGCCCTTCTCTGTTTTGCAAAACACTAACCCTGAAACCAATTCTTTATCTATAATTCCAGCTAATACTTTCTCTCCCGGACCTCGAGGACCTCCTCCTTCTGAGGAACCTCTTTTAACTCCCCAATGAGTGTCAAACTCTTCTTTTGGAACGTCCGTGGTCTAAATGATCCGGCTAAACATAAACCTTTTGCGGATTGGCTTAATTTTCAAAAACCCATTTTTGGTGCCCTTTTAGAAACTCATATAAAAGAACCCTTTCTTGACCCAATCTTAACTAAGTTGTGCCCCTCTTGGAAATACCTCTCTAACCACTTGTCTGATCCTGATGGTCGAATTATCCTGATTTGGAAGGATCCTCTAATAGTCCAGCCTCTTTATCAATCCAGCCAGTACTTAACCTGCTCCATCACTATCCCAAACCAAGAACCTATCTACTACACTGCTGTCTATGCGTCTAATCTGAGCGCTGAAAGAGTGGACCTGTGGAATGACTTACTCCTTAACCACTCAACTCTGAATCTAGACAACAAAAACTGGGTGGTCGGTGGAGACCTGAACCAAATCCTGTTCCCTCTCGAACACTCTAGTCCTGATGTAAATTACACAGACTCTCTTATGTACCAGACGCAGGACTGTTTTTTGCAAGGAGGACTTTTTGATCTGCGCTATCTAGGGCCGTGTCATACCTGGTCGAATAATCAGCCTGAAACTCCCATTGCTAAAAAGTTAGACAGACTCCTTGTCAATAACACCACCATCTCAACCTACCCTAACGCTGTGGCCTCTTTCCTTCCCCCTGAAATGTCTGATC